ACCTAGCAGGAATAATCAGCTCAAGGCTTCATTTTTGTCAATAAGAGTAATGTACTTACTACACATCCACCACAGCCAAATTCTTTGGAGAATCATTGGATATACGTAGAACTGCAATTAAAATGTGGCAACGTTGAGGGACAGGATTGGGACGCTTTTTGCTAACTTTTGTTGCTGCAATTGGTAGAAGGATTGAGGGTCTTTGTGGAGAATGAGAATGAATCTGCGAGTCGCTGGCTAGACTTTTCAAGTGGGGACCAATATTATCCCGCATCTCGGAAGCTGTGTCTAACCTAACGATACTCCCACAGAAATGTAATAAGGAAACAAACACAAATGCAACTGGAGGTTGTGGTGGTCATTAGTCCATACGCTGTGCATGGTAATACGACAGCCTGTTGGTTCTACATAGCCCAGAAGTTCATACCTTGGGCAGGGACTCACGAAATCTCAACCCTTTTATGCTGAACTCAGAAGCAAGTGTGCTTCTCGATTGATAATATTCTGTAAAGCTTGGATTCTAGTTCCCTTCTTCCTTGGAATATAGTCTAATCCTGTAGGCGGTGGAATATATGAACCAAGCCCAGGACCTCAGATATGAAATACGTATGAAATAATATCGATATTTCTTTAACCTACTTGTTTTGTGGAGTTGGACAAGGAGGTCCCACACCATTGGAAAAGGAAGAGGAACCTTGAAACCTCAAGGTTTTGTTCAACGGGTATACCCAGATGCTCGATGAATACTGTGGGCATCAATGCTAGCAGGTCTCTCTAGGGAGATAGATGTATCTTGTAACTGATGCGAATGGGCCAAACGCCAAGAATATAAACGATGAAAAAAGATAAAATAAAATAAAATAATTATGTACTTTTTGCCTCTAAAAGATGGAAAGCAAATTGACTCAGACATGGAAATTTACACGAAAGTACGGCATGGGTAGCTTAGTGCCATGTTAGCTACATATCACAGCAATTGTCATTCGTAGAGCGCACCTACCTCGACGGATAGCCATGTTCAGAACCGAGCTCATACCTCGATTTCGGGTTTAAGTTCGGGGCCATAGGCGGGAGCCCCTGTGAGTCAAGCACATCGTCCACTTTCTTTTCCTTCTCGAAGAACGCAGCCAACCCATGTTCCTCTCCCCTTTGCTTTACTTCCACGAGTTGCTGGGTGCCCGCGTCTCCAACCTTAAGCACGTCGGCTTTAGGAGCCGCCTCACTTCCAACCGTAAGAAGTCCCACGATATCTGCCTGTTTCATTACGCTTGGGCGAGCGTAATTTCGTCGCACATCCCGTTTCCAGTAAGGGTTGTCAGCAATATCGCCAGCAGGCATCGTGACAGGGTCATCGTAGGATTGTGGTGCGAGAGCCCCTGGTGTGGGATTTCGGAATTGCGGGTTTAATGGGACACCATTTGATCGGCTTGGGTCGACGACCAATATCCGACGGATGCGCTCCCAAATACCGGTAGATTGAAGGGTGTATTTCTTCCGAATTCAGTTAGAATAATCGAAAAATGAACATGAACGGACGAAGAGGGAGGAGGCGGGGAAATGGATTTTGGTACCTGATTAATGGGGACGGTATTTGCGGACTTTGCCGCTCTCAATATCTGGGTCGATCGCATCTCGATGTAGCTGCGAACAGTCAGTGCGATTAAGAAACCCACAACTTTGAGACTCGCTGAGACTCGCTGGACAAGATTGGATTGAAGGTTGTTGATTGCAGTTTGGTGATGATTATGTCAGCAAAAGGAGTCCTGGAGGACACTGACTTTCATTGGTCATTCTACGCTCCAGGATCAGCTAACCATCTACAGCGTATGGGCATTTTTTCTCTCCTTTCTCACTCTATAAATGTATTTGTGAAGTTGTATGAGCTTGTGCCAGAAATCAAATATACAGTTAAAGACTTCCTCCCTCCTATCTGGGTCACTAGCGCGGTCAGTGTAGAAT